TGAATTCCAGTTGTTTTCACTGGGCAGCTGCTGCCAGTATCTTCATCTTCACTTTCAGTAGATTCTGTAGAGTTAGCACTGCTGTCTTGAACCAGTTTCTGATTGACCAGTTCTTCCTGTGTATGTTTGAATTTTCTCCACCCTCTCCCCACATGCAGGTTGTTGGTCATTCTGAATTACCCTCTTATGTGAGTGTGTGCATGTCCTGTGTTAATATGTTAATCCTGTCGATATGTCCAAGGTGTACCACACTTTCCACCTAATGCCATCTGAGGATGGCACCGGCCCCTTGTGACCTGTAATAGAGGTGTGGGAAATGGATGGAAGAGTGAAGGGTTTGAAAAAAATAATAATTATAGCACTGCATCAGCCAGCAAGCTCTCATGGAAAAAACACAGAATAACGCTTCTGAGCTGCTGAAGGTTATACAAAATAAAACACATACACACACAACCCACAAAATGTGTTTCAGTAAGCAAAAATACCAATGTTTCTGCACCTTGTGACGCTGGAGAAGATTGACATGAAACATAAAATGCAGGCCTCATCATGTGAACTGGCAGACTGCGGGAGAAGCATCACCAAGGAGGACAGAGGGGACAGAAACATGGTGGAAGGCAGACAGAGATACGGATCGACTGCAGCACTGTGTTTCCTGCCAACACTACTGAGCAGAGAAATGTCCTACTGGGTAATTACATGAGCATCTTTAACACACACCGGCACACACTCACAACACTGACCTGGCTTTTGTGCCTCCCTGTGTTAATAAGTGTTCATAATGAACACAATCCATAGGTCCGCTGGGTTCAGGTCCTCTACAACCTTGCTGTGAGCTACAGCAGCCAGACAGCAGCATGAGGAGACACCATGCTGCAGTGCTGTTACGCTACTGCCCTCATGTGGACATCATGGGCATTAATACACTCTCACAAATCCTATTTCAATAAACTGCTGAGTAAACAATAATATAAACATGGTGAGCTCCAGAAAAGTCCAACGACATTCAGTAATTCAATTTAACAGCAACATTTCACAATAAATGTCGTCTTAAGGCACTTTCAAACATTTCCATTCAGTCACCAACATTCTAATTGATCCCAGTTATCAAACAGTACATTAAACTCACTACATCACTCAAATCTATCAGAAACCCAGCAGATTGAATCAAGTAATTGATAAATATAAAATGCATTTTATGCACTGTGTATATTTGTGATGGAACGTTCAGGTAAAGTGGAGTTCAGTTGACATGTGAAGGCTGTGAAGCTCACTGACTCTGATGGGCCTTCAAGTTGAATTTGTCTCCGATATCTGTTGTTATTGTGGCACTTAGCAAATGGAAATATTTTTGGTAATTCTAACTCTCCTAAAACAGGAGTAGTTTGGTCTGATTTGACTTTTTTTATTAAGTGTAGGTAAACTTCTGGTTTCGGCTGTATTTCTAAAATTATTTTTAGCTTATTTATTAGCCATCTTGTGTTGTTAGAGTCTCTATGCTTCACATGTATCAGAGTCATATTCAAGATTTTGCTTCACACAGAGTGTTTAGGTAGAAAGACAAAATATGTGAGAGTTCAGTTTATTTCTTTTTAATTATACTAAACATGTGAAACAAATCAAAGATTGGGTTGCAGGAGTTGAATTGAACATCTGACCCAAAGTGTTGCTCAAAGTTCTAGAAGATGCATCTCCAGACACACCAGGGCCTCATGTATAAAGAAAAAAATGTGCACTGCCATATTTTACACACAAGTCAACATGTATAAAAATGAACGTGGTCTGAAATGATCACCAAATCTCACCTGAATACACAGAAACCTGACTCATTGAATACAAAAAGCATCAAACCCGATGCTTATGAATTTAATCTTTTATTGTTTAAAATTAAACAGTGAAACTGAACCACATACATCCTCATACAATTAGGTAACACATACACACACAAAATTAATAAATATAATAAAGCTAAAATGTTGTGAAAATTACAGTTGGACGTAAACAGGACATTTTCTTGGTTTTCGTCCCATCGGTCAACCTGCAGTTGAGCCATTCCAGCTTTGTGAATAGAAAGCATCTCCTTTCTGTAAAGGTGCAATTTATATGAGCAGAACTGACTGATAAATGTAGTAGCATGTTGGCCTGGTCCAACACATGATTCCTCTATTAGGAATAAGCTTCCACATTCCCCACTCAACACAAATAGTCTGTGGGTCAGACCATTTTTTTTATCCATTTCAGGGTGGCAAAGTCTATCGATATTTTTTGAACAGATGCATGTCTCTATTTTGGTATAATAGCTCTTCCAAAATGGTAACTGAGTCATAGTTATCAGCTCATGAAATAAACAACCCTTTGGACAAAATGCTGTTTTTTGAGACTGGTGTATGTCTGGTTTAGAGTCATGGTATGGGAATTTGTCAAAAGGTCTACAATATAATGTTTGGCATCATCTTAAAGGGAACACTCTTGGCTTTTATTTAGACCAGGTTTTGAGTCTCTCTGACTAACACAGAGGTCACCAGAGCTCGTTAAACCAAAAATAATACACATTGTTCTACACTTTTTGACCAAACTAAATACATTTCTTTTATCCCAGTGGTTTCCAGGGACATTAGTGACACAAGAGTTAACAGCTAAAATACTCAACAGACTCTAAGGAGTCAGAATGTAAGATATGCTTATACTGTCTGTCTATGGGAGGCAATTATGAGCTGTAATTTGAAGTTACAGACTTGGGCTATAACCATAAGTGGTTCCTTGGTGTGTGGGGGGGGGGGGTTATGGGGGAGGGGTTCATGGAATGAGAAATTTTGGCCTCTGGCCCATGAACTGAAAGCCCTCTCTAAATCTGTCTTTAAATGCCATCTGAACAACTATTTCCACATGAATTAATCAACACATTCCATCATTTTATGCTCCAAATGTTTTGTTTTGTTTTCTATTTGTTTTGTTACATTGGTTTTATTTTTAGTGAGGTGACCTTGTGTGCCCTGGAAATAGATTTTTTTTTATATATATGTAGTAATTATTATTAGATGCTACTAGAAGCAGGAATCGTTACCATGGTTATTTGAACGCGGTGTCAGTCTTATACTAATTTACACATGTACAGTTAGGGCCAGAAATATTTGGACAGTGACACAGGTTTTGTTATTTTAGCTGTTGACAAAAATATGTTCAGAAATACAATTTATATATAATATGGGCTGAAAGTGCACACTCCCAGCTGCAATATGAGAGTTTCCACATCCAAATCGGAGAAAGGGTTTAGGAATCATAGCTCTGTAATGCAGAGCCTCCTCTTTTTCAAGGGACCAAAAGTAATTGGACAATGGACTCTAAAGGCTGCAAGTAACTCAAAAGGCCTTTCCCTCATTAACCTGTAATCAAGTAAGTAGTTAAAAGGTCTGGGGTTGTTTCCAGGTGTGTGGTTTTGCATTTGGAAGCTGTTGCTGTGACCAGACAACATGCGGTCAAAGGAGCTCTCAATTGAGGTGAAGCAGAACATCCTGAGGCTGAAAAAAAAGGAAAAAATCCATCAGAGAGATAGCAGACATGCTTGGAGTAGCAAAATCAACAGTCGGGTACATTCTGAGGAAAAAGAATTGACTGGTGAGCTTGGGAACTCAAAAAGGCCTGGGCGTCCACGGAAGACAACGGTGGTGGATGATCGTCGCATACTTTCTTTGGTGAAGAAGGACCCGTTCACAACATCAACTGAGGTCCAGAACACTCTCAGAGAAGTAGGTGTATCTGTCTCTAAGTCAACAGTAAAGAGAAGACTCCATGAAAGCAAATACAAAGGGTTCACATGTAGATGCAAACCATTCATCAATTCCAAAAATAGACAGGCCAGAGTTAAATTTGCCCAAAAACACCTCAAGAAGCCAGCCCAGTTCTGGAAAAGTATTCTATGGACAGATGAGACAAAGATCAACCTGTACCAGAATGATGGGAAGAAAAAAGTTTGGAGAAGAAAGGGAACGGCACATGATCCACGGCACACCACATCCTCTGTAAAACATGGTGGAGGCAACGTGATGGCATGGGCATGCATGGCTATCAATGGCACTGAGTCACTTGTGTTTATTGATGACATAACAGCAGACAAGAGTAGCCGGATGAATTCTGAAGTGTACCGGGATATACTGTCAGCCCAGATTCAGCCAAATGCTGCAAAGTTGATCGGACGGCGCTTCACAGTACAGATGGATAATGACCCCAAGCATACAGCCAAAGCTACCCAGGAGTTCATGAGAGCAAAAAGGTGGAATATTCTGCAATGGCCAAGTCAATCACCAGATCTTAACCCAATTGAGCATGCATTTCACTTGCTCAAATCCAGACTTCAGACGGAAAGACCCACTAACAAGCAAGACCTGAAGGCTGCGGCTGTAAAGGCCTGGCAAAGCATTAAGAAGGAGGAAACCCAGCGTTTGGTGATGTCCATGGGTTCCAGACTTAAGGCAGTGATTGCCTCCAAAGGATTCGCAACAAAATATTGAGAAAAAACTTCTTTGTTTCGATTATGTTTATATGTCCAATTACTTTTGAGCTCCTAAAATGTGGAGTGTTTGTAAACAAATGTGTACAATTCCTACATTTTCTATCAGATATTTTTGTTCAACCCTTTAAATTAAACGTTACAATCTGCACTTGAATTTTGTTGTAGCGGTTTCATTTCAAATCCAATGCGGTGGCATGCAGAGCCCAACTCACAAATATTGTGTTACTGTCCAAATATTTCTGGCCCTAACTGTATTTATGACAGGCGGTCCAATCAGGATCAGCAGCTGCGCTTTATTTCACACAAATTGGGATTTGTTTGCAGCTGTATGCGTAAGAACCGCACTTTTCAAAATTTCTTTCTACAACAACTTTGAGCAGGAAAGCTGTGCATTCTTGAATACAGGAGGGCCTTGATGCTGCAGGGGGATTCCTATCATCAAATCCAGAAAAGGTAAAACGGTGAGGTTGAAGAACCACATCTCCCACAGTGCATTCAAAAAATATTGTTTATCTACAGAAGTCATCATAGGTTCTCTTATTTGCTCACTGATAAACTGCAGACTTCATACATGACATCAGGCAACAACATTCAAGGGATCCTCGGCTTCATTAAAGCAAAGGAAAGAAGTGCATGACAATTCAGACACAAGTTGGACTTTATAAGAGTTGTGAACGGCTCTACGGCAGTCTCTGGTGCTTCAAGCCATGCCTGTTAACCTCTCACTTACTTCCCAAAGCTTCTTTGCCAGGCCATCATCTCTCCCGTTAGCTCCAACTTGTTGCAGCGCACAGTTGGAGAAGTATCTGCCACTGAGTGGCTCAATGCCTTCCTGGAGGGCGCAGTGCAGGGTGGTCTGACATCCTCCGCTGGGGTCCAGGAGGAACAGCTTGGCTAAGGGCATCATGAGGAGCTGCAGCCACTGGCTCAGACTACGGCACAGTTCTGTGTAGATTACTCCTGCAGTTATCCAAAAAACACAGAAAGCTTCACTGTAAACAGCCTTATGGAACATTTAAAGAACTAATGACACCATAAAACTCAAGCAAACCTTTACAGAAGCAGCAATAGATGCAACTACTGACCTGGGTGAAGGGTGTAACAGGTAACATCAGTGCCTTCCAGCCGGTTGGCCAACTCCCTGGTGAAGAGCACATTGCAGAGTTTGCTGTTACAGTAGGCCTGAAGGCTGGACCAGGCAGACTGGGGGGGCACCGCGTCTGTCTGTGGAGCCAGCAGCTGGAAGTCAATGCTCCCCAAGCGGTGCAGGAGAGCAGACACAGTGATGACTCGACTGGGGCCGCAGCGCCTGAGCCGCTCCAGCAGGAGGTTGGTCAGCAGGAAGTGACCCAGGTGGTTGACCCCAAAGGCCAGGTCGAAGCCCTCCTCAGAGTAACCAGGACCCAGAACACCTGAAACACGGAACCAATCACCAGTTATTTTTAGCTTCTTTTATTTCTGTTTTCATGCAACACACAGTATAAAAGTACTAACTGGGAAGCAACTGGTTGGTCAAACCTCACCTGCATTGTTGATGAGGATGTCCAGTCTAGGTTCAGTCTTAAGAAAGGTTTCAGCAAAACTGCGAACTGACTTTAAACTTGCCAGATCAAGCTGCATGAACACCACTTGGGGGTTCCCACTCTCCTGAAGCAAAAAGCATTGGTGAGTACAGCTGCAGCAGGAGTAAAATAAAACGGTATTCACATATTCATGATGTGCTTTCATTAAATTAATAAATGTAATTCCATTACTGAAAAATTAACTATATACAAGGTGAGTCTCTCTAACCTGAGGATGTGAACCTGAACTGGGTTGATTCTGTGCCTTCAAATAATTGAACAATGCTGCTGTAGAAGATTCATAACTTATAACTCATAATTCTGAAACAGGAACAGGTCTGAAACAACAGCCTGTGTGCTGCACTCAAGAGAGAGATTCATTTGATGCATCAAAGAGTGATGTCATCACTGCTGATGTCATTGTTACATTCCAATAGTGCATTCACATCAAACACGTTTTGAGCATCAGGAGAGTCTGCTTTGTATTAAAAGTCTATGTGGAGTGTTGGATGCGCTAGATGTGTCAAAGCGCGCTGCAACAGCCCTCGACGTGCCTCGACATCGACTTTGAATGCAAACTAGACGAACCTTGTCGCTCAAAACGCATTTGGTGTGAACACACCATTATATGTCCAGTGTCACATGAGGTTAGGGTGAGGATCCAAAGTGGCATCCAAAGTTTTCCATTCAATTTTATGCTGTCATGCCGGAACTTACTGCTAAGTGGCAGGGAAAGCAAACATTGCCTCTTCAATATTATTACCCTGAATGGGCCATTTGGGATCATACAGTGCCATTTGGGTGCACTTGCTATTCATGCAAATTCCACTGGATGGAGCTCCTGTATTACAATGTGAACCATGGTAAATCTTCATTTTAAGACCAGAGCATGCCATGAGAGCTCATTGTGTGCCATGGGGGTATCAAGTGGGTATTATAGGTATTTACTAAGTGTTTCAGTAGTGGTAGTCCATTGTAAGTGTGTGTGGGGGTCCAGTCTGGGTCCATGGTCCTGGCTGGTCCTGGAGAACCAGGGGTTGTTCCAGGCAAGGTCCATGCGGGCTTTGGGTGCCTGATTCCCGGGTACAGTACTTTGATGGGTTTCCCCTGGTTCCGGAGCTCCAGGACCAGAGTCTGTTCAAGTCAGAGTCCTGGGTCCTGTTTGGTCCTTGAGCTTCAAGGGGGTGGTCAGTCAACCTCCATGCAGGTTTTGGGTGCACTAAACCTGGGTAAAAAAGCAGGCTGGTTGCCTGGAGGCCCAGTGTAGTGTGTCAGTCTAAGTCCATCTAGGCTTATTCACAGATGATCCTACTTGGCATTTCATTGTTCTGCCGTTCCTGCATTCTTGAACTCCAAGCTGAACCCATAGCCATTGTACGACTAGAGCCACCATGGTTAATTAAGGGTCTCCATGCTGAACCCTTGTTTTCCGACATAGTTGGGTATGGCAGGAACCAGGGGTGCAGCAGGCATATATTCAGTGGCAGAAAATAATACTTTGACCACGCGAGCCATTCCCTGCCATTCGAGAGTACCAGTAAATCCTCCCTGGTGTCAGGGGTGCATTGGAGGAGGTTCTGTCTGGTGCTGTCTATCCACTAGGCTACTGGATCCCTGCTTAAAGCAGCTGCCCTCTGGGAGCATCTGGTTGATGCTCCCATGGCTGAGCCATGGAGACCCCTGGTTGATTGTTGGTCTCTCTTACCTCAGACCTCCCTGGTTGATTAAAGGTCTGTCTTTCCTTGGTCTCCTCTGTTTGTCGGGAGTCTTCTGTTTGCAGGGGGGCCTCTGGTTGGATGGAGACTCTAGGATGGTTGTTTTCCAAAGCAAGTTTCAACTTCACCTTCAAGTCTGCAACCTGACCCTGCAGAGATTTCACTGTTTCCTCCTGTGCTTTGAATTTGGAAGCTTCCTCAGAGTGACTTTTGAGCTGCTCCTCATATTTAAGTCTCACTCTGTATTCTTCAACCATTACTTCTACCAGACCTTTGTTGCGGGAGGCATATTTTTCAGCCTCCCTCTTGAAGTACTCCAGCTGTTGAAGAATGTTCTTGTCGGCTGTAACTTTGGAAGAGCAAGAAATCTTTGACACATCTTTAATCTCTGGCACGTTTCTTCCATGTTGACGTTTGACTTGCATGTGACGTTCTTCTTCTAACATTTTTTTGCAGTTTCTGAATCTCCTGCTGCTGTGATTTGACTTTAGCCTGATATGCAATCCTTTGGTCTCTTTCCTCATGGAGATCAAAAATCTTACTCTCCAGTCCTTTTTTAAGATCGTCTACCTGCTTTGTGAGATCAATGATGTGTTGGTTAGCTCTTCTCTTCCACGACTTCCACTGAGGGGGTCATCTTGAAGCCAGCAGAGGGATTTGTTTCCTGCTTGACTTCCAGTGATGTTGGACTCTCAAAGTTGCTGGAAGGACTTGATTCCCCCTGGATCTCTGCCGATTCATCTTCCGACTCAATGGGACTGTGCAGTGGTTTTTATCCTCAAAAGGGAAAACCACTGCATCGTAGTCGACTTGGATGTTGAGGTTCATCAGCTGGAAAAGCTTCATGTTCACAAGCAATCTGTTGTTGCTTCATGTCTATATTCTGGTAAATTCCTGCTTCTCTGAAAGGCGTGTAATATCTGGAATCGATATTCTGCTTGTTTTGAACGTGCTCTGAAGAGTGATCTGTCACGATAGAACTGTGGAACAGGTCTGAGAAAACTGCCTGTGAGTTACATTCAAGAGAGAGATTCCTTTGTGGTATCATAGAGTGATGTCATCACTGCTGATGTCATTGATGCCATTGGAACTGAACATTCTATACACCTTGTTCCTGGGAGGCTTCCAGGGAAAACGATTATGGGTTTTACTTCCGGCGCCCACCAGAAAGTATTTCATTGTAATTTGTTAGGTTTTTGGTTAATCTATATTTATGGTAGAAGTTACATCTCTCTTTTCGCTTATTGAACAATATTGAGTAAAACTTGTTTATGGACACGCCATCTGTAATCAGAGAGATGCTTAGTACAGATATGATTAATTTTGTAACTGACAGGGTCCCAATTTTTTTTACCATGATACGGTATGGTTGGGGTGGAGCTTCTGGCATCAATAGCCCATAAATTGGGGTACAAGAAGCGTTACTGGCTGCAACAACGAGCAAGTCACGTTTTCTGTTGAAGTAGTGAGACGCAATGTTAAGCGTCAGGTTCAATACCACCTGTCCAGTGAGAGTCTAGTTGGTGGTGGAAATGCTCGCCTGAATACTCCGGATCATAAAACAGAGTACCGACCCCACCAACCTATGCTGTGTGCCACTCAGTGGAAATGAACTATTACATTCTGTGAAGTAAAAGCCCTGGCATGAAACAAATCCAGTTTTGGATAGCTGATCTCTGAATGGTCGGGTCTCTGTGTGTTGAACTGATTGGGTCTTACTGAGCGGATATCAAACGCTGCAGCCTCAGCCTTCTCCTTGTTGCGACAGGCCAGAATCACGCGAGCTCCTCTCTTTGCCAGTTCCAGAGCGGTACTTTTCCCAATGCCAGTGTTGCTTCCTAGACAGCAAAACCAATTCACAATTCAACATCTGATACAGCAGTCTTTCATCAGACTGCTAACCATCCATAACATACTCACATTTATTGCACAATTTAAATGAAAAAGTCCTGAAATTGATCCATTAATATTACAACCTTGATTCAGTATGGGGAGTAGTAATACTCCTGTAGCTACTATGAACTGTTATCTCACGAAAATATTCTCTTTTTGTGAGATTCTTTGACAAGAATTGATGATTAAAAAGTGTTTTATTATCAACAGATCCTTTCTAAAACTAATTCCATTAGCAGGGATTTACCAGTTATTTTGGTTTGTTCATGGTTCAAATATGTCAGAGTGGAGTCCAAACAGAGATCAGAACTACAATAGCTGCTAGTCAACCCACCTCTCCATCATTTCCTGCCTCTCAGGTCTGATTATTTCATGCCCAACTTTTTCAAGTTTTACTAACCTGCTGCAGGGTGTTTGGTAAATCCAACTCACAGATTCTTCTTAAACTGCCTAGTGGATGTTTTCTACCCACACTGAGTATTTTGCGGTCTATTTCTCCTTGTCTAAATCTATACATAAATATTTACAGACACAGGGCTGCTTACAGGTATGAACGTGAAGGGAGGAAATGGTTTCAACACTTCCAATGGAGAAACTGACCTCATGTCACCAAAATGAAATAAACGAGGAGCAGGAAGGTTAGCTAGAATCTCGGGACATAAGGATTTTACCAGAAGTCGTTACACTTTCATAGAAAAATACACTTTATATTAAAATGACAGAGCTGTATGTCATACCAGACCTTCAGCAGCAGGCTGTTTTTCAAAGTGAATCAAGCAAGACAAAAAAAATATCTACAGAGCATTTAATGAAAAACTTTTTATTTGCCTTATTTTTTTTAATATTATTATTTCATAATATATTTTATGCTCATGCTCCCTCAAAGTCTCATAAATAAGAAAGTGTTTTATCACTGATAAATGTTGCTCTATGGGACAATGTCATTCATATATCTTTAAACTCCCCCTATTGCCAAACTATTTTACTTTTTGTCAAGCAGACTCACAGCTCAGGTTCAAATGTAAAACTGAATTGCTTTGATTTGATCATTAATGCCCCAGGTTTGACCCTACATGAGATGGCCTATTTCCATCTGATTCTGCTCCTAAATATGCAACAAAAACTGAGTTCTTGCACATAATTATATCGCTACTTCCTGTTGTATAATGTGTTGCACTCTAATCCCATTACTGGACCAGCGTTTTAAAATGACAGATTGATAAATCACATAAAATGCAAGTGACCTCCAGTAGGAATGAAATCACAGCATGACCTACAGTGGACCATGTGTAGAATGGAAGTGACTTTAAATGTTCAATTTAAATGACTTTAAGTCGATTGTCAAAACGGAAGAGAAAAAGACCAAAACGGAAGAGGAGTTTCTTCTCCTGAAGCCGACAGAACCGGAGATGGACTGAAGTTTCTTGTTTTGTTCTTTTTCAGGAGTTTTTTGTTTGTTTGTTGCCTGTGGTTTAAACAAACAATGGAGTTCGTTTACCTGTTACAACAACAGTCTTCCCCTTCAGCCGAGCGGGACTCAAACATCTCGTTCCTTTGAACAGACCGTAGAAAAGCAGAAGATAGAGCCAAACAGCCGCGGCTACCAGGTACAAATACATTCTGCTGCCTGAGTCTGAGCTGGCCTCGGTCTTCTTCTCCACACATTTGACTCAGGTCTTATGGCTGTTGGGCAAATTACTGCCATCTTGTGGCCAACTAGTGTACCACTTTGCCAAGCGCTCCATGCAGTCCAGGAGTTTTTTGGTTCTCCTGAAGAGTTTAGAGCTTCCAACTATGAGACCGGCGGTGTTTTGTTCCAATCCCTGCAACAAAGAGATGCAGCTCTTTTTATTCATGAAAATGTTCATTTTAGCGACTAAATGGTCATATGTTATAGAATTGTATTCAGAAAATCTGAATACCATAATAAACTTTTATTTATTATGATTTTAATGAGCAAGTTTTACAGATAAATAAAACTCACAATTAAGTGTCTCAGATAATTAGAATAAAAAAACAATAAAAAAATTGTATTTTAAAGTGAAATGTCAGGCTTCTGAAAAATATACTATACTTTAGTCTGTACTACTGGTAGAGCTCAGTTTTACTTTAATTATTGTATCAGTGGGGATGGAGCCAATCAGCCTGTGGTTCTGGTAAGGAGTAATGGAATCCCAGGTTTTCCATACTGACTCCACTGTCAGTCCATAAATGGATTTTATCATCCTGAGCAGCAGGATGTTTCATGCAAAAGGAACCTCAACCAAACAGTGCATAGATAATTAGCATGTGTTTCATAAACCTGATATTCCCATTTAAAATAAGTAATGTTTTTCTGATCATATATAACATTCGAATTTTATGAGACACTGAACTTGGGGGGTTTCGATAGCTGCAGAACATGACCATCAAAATGACAACAAATAAAGACTTAAAATATTCACTCTTTGTGTACGTTTCACTTTCTGAAATGAGTGACAAAAGGTCAAATTGTTTGAAATGTTCTTTGAAAATGTTTTTCTTTTTCTAGTTTAGATTTTCTGAACTTGATATAATGTCATTCCAGTCCTGAAGTTGGTACTGACAAATATTTCACCTCAGACCCGGACTGGTTCCTGTGAGTAAAACCTCACTAGAAAGCTATGGTCATTTAAATGAAGCTGTTTAACAAGCCCCAGTGTTATTAGTCTATAATGTAATTAAACAAATGATGACCAAATAGGCATTTGCACTTGGTGAACAAAGGTTTCACTGACTGATGCTGGAATGACTAAACATTTAAAACACTGGGAGGGACCATAGTGAGGGGGGAGAGTTTATTCTAGATTTGCTTTTAAACCTGTCTTTACAAAACAATAGATACTTTGTGAAACGTCCCACTGCCACCATGAAACATTGCACAATACTGGTTTTTATTGTTTTTAAGTGGCGTTTATGGCCGTTAATGCAGCATCGTCTGTTTTGAGGGCTTGCAAACACATTCCTACTGGGAATAGCAGCTTAGTCAGAACCAAACCTTCAGGTTCCACTGGTCTGTTAGTGGAAGACAAGGTGTGTGAGCCAACCTCAGTTCTATCTGATCTCGTCATTCCTGACAGAGTTTCACATAAAAACAAAGTACAGTTCTGTTCATTTGCCCATAATGCTATCATTTCCAGTATGTGTGAGCCACCTGAACCTTACGCTGGCACATCCCAGTGTGTTGTCCTCCCATCAAATGTGGATCCACTGTCTGAGGAATGAGGAGCTTCAGTTAGGGTTAAATGGTTCCACACAGATTCACTGTTAAAAGCAGGTTGAAGAGTTAAGTAATCTCTATTATTGATAAAAACAGAATCTTAAACAATCAGGGACTTTTTATGTCATTTGAAATGTCTGCTAAGGCGTTTGTCTCTTATGTCATCCAGGTGAGAAGCTGACAGTTGGGTCCTGGCACCCCACCCATCCTGTTACCCCACCAAACCTGTGAAACCAGAAACCACTCCAGAGACATCTCCCCACTGGTTATTTTCCATCAATGTTTTTCTTTTTCCTTCTTTAAAGACATTTTGAACTCATGAGTAAGAAAATCTTCATTAGTCATTAATAAAACAGATGCAATGCATGTGAACACAAACAGGTTAGACTTATGGGTATGAGTAATCTGTACACATTACACATCTAACCGAGTTACAGAAGAAGAAAGTTTAATCAATCAGTTCACATCCGAAACACATCTGAGCTCTAGAGAAAACTGTTGCATTCAGGCGGTTCAGAAAGACTCTCCAGATTTCCATTACTATACATTTGGTCATGCATTATAATACTTGCCAACATTTCAGCTTTCATCCACTTGATCAGTTTTAGCCCCAGTTTTCAGTCAGTTAAATCAAACGAGGCCGTCAAGTCACACCTAACACCAGCTAGCAGAAAACACAAGTCCTTGTCGTGGTTTAAACTGAAACTTCTCCTTCTGCCTCAGACAAGACCACACAATCTCTCACTGATCTCCCACAGCTTCTTTGCAGCAGCATCATCCCTGGCTTTAGCAAACAGATCTCTAACGGTGCAGTTGGAGAAGTAGCGTCCACTGAGGGGCTCGATGCCCTCCTGCAGGGCACAGTGGAGGGTGGTCTGGCATCCCTGAACGGTGTTCTTGAAGAAGAAGGCGGTGATGGGTTTGAGGACGATTTGTAGGAATAAGCCAGTGTTCCTACCAAGCTCTGAGCTGATGGCTCCTGTAACACAAAGTAGATAAGGTGAAACGATAACTGATGCTTGTCATGCCTGGTTGGTCACCTGTTACACAAATACAGCAGATGAGTGTGTCCCTCCCTGAAATCTTTGTTGTTCTAACATTTGTAATCTTAATTCAATGAGCATTGAACCTTGCAAACCCATAAAAGTGTATGTGTCAGAAAATTCTTCATCTGTTTCACTCCTCAACCTGACTGTTTAACTGAATGCAAGCAACATTTGTTCTGCTTCCAGAAAATAAGATGTCTGTGAATACTATAGCATGATTAACTGAGCCTGTCTTTATATCCATGAACATTCATTTTAGTAACTTAGACAAAAACTCTTTGATGCATGAAGGAGTTTGGGTCAGTAACTTGAAAGTGACCAAAACAGATCAAAGTTAGCTCTAGTATTCTTAACAGTTTCACTTTAAAACTCTGTGGTCTTTGTTACAGCAGTGGCTCCACTCAGTTTGGCGATGCCGCTGCACTCTTCCCTACAGGTTACTCCTTGATTCATCTGAACGACATCCACTGGACTTCACTCTGTCCAAACATGAATCGCGCTCCGTTACTGACCTGGGTGGAGAGTGTAGCAGGTGACCTGAGTTCCTCGCAGCCTCTTGGCTAGCTCATGGTTGAAGAGAACGTTGCACAGTTTGCTGTCGCAGTAGATCTGGAAAAGTCGTATGAAGGACGTCCCCAAGCCCAGAGCTTTGTGACTGTTCAGGCAGTCGAAATCTATTTTTCCAAAGTTGTGCGCCATGGACGACACATTGATTATCCTGCTGGGGCCACATTCCTTCAGCCGGTCCAACAACAAGTTGGTCAGCAAGAAGTGACCCAGATGGTTGACACCGAACATCAATCCAAATCCATCTTCTGTTTGACCCTGCAGGCAAATACCTGGGGCCAAATACAATGAGAGCATTCATCAGTAAAGACGTGGAGTTGAAAAGAGGTTACCTCATCTGACCTTTCTCCGGGCTGTCAACATATCTGCTATTTTAGGTTTTTATCATTTTGACAATTGAGAACAAAACAAGCAAACATAGCAGATGGGAAGCGAATGATCTTGATATTATGGATGATAATGTGCATGGTATGTAGTTGAGCAATCCTACCTGCGTTATTGATCAGAATGTCCAGTCTCGGTTCAGACTTCAGAAATGACTCTGCAAAACTGCGAATAGACTTGAGACTTCCCAGATCCAGCTGCATAAAAACCACCTGGCTACTTCCACTCTCCTGCACCAGGTGAGAACCAGAGAGCCGTCAGTCTGCCTGCTCCAGACTGACAGCTAGTCTGCGACAGGCTGATTTTCCACAAAATCGCTCCATTTATCACAAATAAAAACATCTCTATTTATTTGTCAGTACCATAAGATCCTGCCACTGTTCCTGGACAAGAAAGAAACAGATGACTATGAACTCCTCACCCGCCTGATCTCTTCCAGAGCAGCGTCTGCTCTCTGCTTAGAGCGGCAGGCCAGGATCACTCTGGCTCCTCTCCTCGCCAGGTCTATGGCCGTGGTCTTCCCTATGCCAGTGTTGCTTCCTAAAGATGAGAAACAGCGTGTCAGGCAAAGGCAGGGCAGGAGAGAAGAGCAGTAGAAAAGAAAAAGTTGAATTACCAGTGACAATCACAGTTTTCCCATGAAGCTTTGCTTTGCTCGTGCATCTCTCGCCCTTCACCACAATGTGACGGTAAATGTAAGCAACTCCTATAACCAGACCGACAACCAGGAGCACGACAGACATGGTTCCTGCCTCTGAGCCTCAAGGCACTCTCAGCTATTTCCCCTTTTGACATCCTGTGTCATTCCAGCCAGGCAGCACCCTGATCTGAGTGGGCGGGACTCCAACCCTCGTCATCATCATCGTCATCATACTGCACCACCCACAGAAAGAAAAGATCCTGAAAGTTCTCTGAAGATCCAGGTGATGATCCATGATGACTCAAAATATAGTAATGGGATAACAAGCGTGACTTGTCATCTTATTATTATTATTTTTTAAACATGGTGCCAAAGGAGGTTTATAGTTGGCCAAAGGAAGTTAAGCAGCTTCTTCAAAGATTTTTAATCAATTCTCTGGCCTGAAGTGGACAGTCCCCACTAACATCCCTGCACCTTTATTTCTTTATGTACCTGCATCTATGCAACTGAGCAGCAGCTGCACGCTGCATTAACAGCCAGGCGATGCTTTTTAAAATTCCTTTGTAAAATTTAAATGGCAAGTCTGCTCAGTGACCTAGTTGCCTGGACATCACATGACTTACTGTGCGCCACATGCGCTGCTGCTTTGTGCTGAGTCAGGAATGTCGGTGAAATGACGCAATCATGCAAAGAATCTGAGAAGGAGACACAAAGTTTTGACATGGATTGTCATCACTGGGACAGCGAGACAACTTTCATTAAAATATAGGAAGAAAGTAGAGAGTAGGTTAGCTATAACTTTAATCACTTTATCATGAACTCTTGCTGCAGTTTGGGTTAATTAGCACAAAGATCAGGAGGTCAGTAAGACCACTACACTACATAAACAGACCTCTGTCGTTAGCTGTGCACATACATACTGATGACTACTCATGTCCCACTTTGGCTCCTCACCTCCAACCGTTTGACCTGCGACTTCTCAAACTCCATCTTGGTCTCCAGTTCTCGGATCTTGGCCTCCTGACGATTGGCCAGAGATTTCTGGCCCTGAGTTGCAAAATATACACCATCCTAGTTTACCACATGTCTGGAAGTTTACAGAAATCAAAATAATGAAATAAATGAGCTCATTGTTTCTTTATAAAGATAATTTTCAGGTTTTAGACAGAGGTAAGGAGTAATCTGTTCATCCTTCTGGCCTCTTGGCTTTTAAAGTCACTGTGTGAAGTTTTAGGAAAGAGAGCACTGTTGACTCATTCATGAAGGATTCTAGTCCATTCTTCTTTGCTGAGATGCTACTGCATTGATCATTAAAACTTCAGTGCATAACTTTAATAAAAAGTTTTTTTTAATATGTTTGTTGAAACTGTCACTATGTCATGACAGCATGTTATGAGACAATATGTGGAAAAAGTTCAGTTTGCGCTCTTCTCTCAGTGCTAACTTGAAGCAACCAGTCAGACTCAGGAGGCGGGTCTTAGCGCCTTCAATCACCCACGCTGCTCAATCCACACCTGCCTTTTGTCCAAACCAACAACAACTGAAGTACTTGAGAGTAATTCAGAATTATTGTGGGCAATAACTTTGGATTATTGTCCACAATAATTCATCTGATGATAAAAAAAAAAAGATCAGGAGGTCAGTAAGACCACTACACTACATAAACAGACCTCTGTCGTTAGCTGTGCACATACATATTGATGACTACTCATGTCCCACTTTGGCTCCTCACCTCCAACCGTTTGACCTGCGACTTCTCAAACTCCATCTTGGTCTCCAGTTCTTGGATCTTGGCCTCCTGACGATTGGCCAGAGATTTCTCCACCATGGACTGCTCCTGGAACTCCAGCTGGCTCTGGAGGACCTGCATCTGATTCAGAGCAGACCCAGGTCAGTGCTGTTAGACCAGAGAGTATTATTAACTTAAACTAGAAAATTCAGCGTTCTAAAAATTAGTATCAATGCTAAGCTTAGCAAAAAAAAATGTGAGTAACATGGACTTGAACCATGTTAGTAATTTTATGCTAATTTGACAAATATATTTATTTTAGCGTGAATACTGTCAGCAGCATGTGGACCACCACTAGCATGCTGTGTATAATTGACTTTATTTAACATAAAAGGGCCCAAACCTGAGATAATGAAACTTTTTATTATCTCACAATCAGAAATTCTGTGTATCTTATTGGTCAAAAGCAACAAGAAACAAACACATAACTCATGTTCAAAAGAAATACGACTAATAATCTCCCGGCCAAAAACGGGAGACTTGACAAGGCGTTTTATGCCCTATGATGTCACTGACATGATGTCACTGAATGACGGCGTCACAAAGGCTTTGACAGGTTTTGAGTCGCTGTCTCCTTCAGTGACTCCTCACAAGCAAACACAAGTTCAAAGAGTTCTCACACTGGAATCGTGTCGTGCAGACTTGTAGCGAGAAGATGAACATAAAATGAATATTTTTTAAATGTTCCGATGTTCCTGACCCGATGGAGAAGGTACTAGAAGGGAAAAAGCTGAAGTTGTTGGCAGCAAACCTGGAGCTCAGGCTGCTGATCGACTGAGGGGCTTTGAAAGCTTTGGAGCAGCTCGGCTAAGAGGAAACTGCCCTCATCCACAAGATGGTCGACAGGATGGCAGAAGGTCTCACAATGCCAAAGAAATTTGCGACAACGTCAAAGAAGCGGAGCAGCATGTGCAGCAAAGTTCTCGTCAAGCAGAAGAAGACACACAGCAGCTCGCAGCTAAAGAACCTGCTGAAAACAAAGGATGAACACGTCAGCACCAAGATGATCGAGCTGCTGCAGGAACAAATGAAGAAGGCCTTTAAAGGCTTTGAGAACAGTCTGCAGGAAAAAGCTGTGTACGGCAGAAGTTACGGGATATGTCACGTCGTTTCTTGTGGTGGTTGTTACAGGCTTGATAATAATGCTGTAGCAGTTCGGTTTGAGAGCTGAACTGTTACAGCATTAGTTCAAACCAACTGATAACTCAGTGGTTCAGCTGTTGGGAACAGATTTGCTGAAGAGGCTCTAAAACTGGTGGCTGCTGATTAACTGCAAGTCCGTCTTTAACTGCTCCGATGTGACAGAGAAAAGCTCACACAGTTGCTCAGAACTGGACAATCAGTTGAAAACAAAGGATGGATGTCTCAGAGCCAAGATGTACAGAGGAAAATGTGATTGTGCTTTTCTTTGTTACTTCCACTTCTTGTCGTGATTTGCATGTTTAGATTGTTTTGGGTTTGTTGTTTTTCCTCTGGACTGTCGACCAGAAACGGCATCGTAAGCAGAGACCAACCTGTGGCTTCTAACTGATGACTTTTATTGAAGGGCAATTACTATCCATCCATCCATCCATTTTCTGATCACCTTCTCCCTAACGGGGTCAGGAGGTGCCGGTGCCTATCTCCAGCTGCGTTCCGGGCGAGAGGCGGGGTACACTCTGGACAGGTCGCCAGCCTGTCGCAGGGGCAATTATTGAACCCTGGATTTTATGGAGACAAGAGGACGGTTTTAAAGTGACTCCCTTGTAATAAACTACATTGACTGCTTCTCTGTTTGGGTTTTGGAGTTGTTTGCTCCCCTTGGATCCAAGACAGATTGTGGGGTCATATGAGTCACAGTTTGAGTTCTCAAACTAAACTGTTACAGCATTGGTTCAACTAACTGATAACTCAGTAGTTCAACTGTTGGGGACAGATTAGTTGAAAAGGTGTTAAAACTGGAGGGTGCTGATTTACTGTAAGTTTGTTTTTAACTGCTCCGATGTTGCAGAGTCTAGATGTTAAAGTAGAACTGAAACAACTTGAGAAACTGATTGATTTCTCAAATCAATCAGTCCTGATGGACGTGATCTGCAGCTCCCTGGAGCAGTTTGCAGCCAAGTGTGAAGCGGCCAGGGTGAGGATCAGTGCCTCCAAGTCCGAGGCCTTAGTGATGAGCCAGAAAAGTCATGAAGAGTGCCTTCTCCAAGTCCAGGGGTGTATTGTGCCTTCTCCAGGTCCAGGTCAAGGGGCGTATCGTGCCTTCTCCAGGTCCAGGGGCGTATCGTGCCTTCTCCAGGTTCAGGTCAAGGGGCGTATCGTGCCTTCTCCAGGTCCAGGTCAAGGGGCGTATCGTGCCTTCTCCAGGTCCAGGTCAAGGGGCGTATCGTGCCTTCTCCAGGTCCAGGTCCAGGGGCGTATCGTGCCTTCTCCAGGTCCAGGTCAAGGGGCGTATCGTGCCTTCTCCAGGTCCAGGTCCAGGGGCGTATCGTGCCTTCTCCAGGTCCAGGTCAAGGGGCGTATCGTGCCTTCTCCAGGTCCAGGTCAAGGGGCGTATCGTGCCTTCTCCAGGTCAAGGGGCGTATCGTGCCTTCTCCAGGTCCAGGTCAAGGGGCGTATCGTGCCTTCTCCAGGTCCAGGTCAAGGGGCGTATCGTGCCTTCTCCAGGTCAAGGGGCGTATCGTGCCTTCTCCAGGTCAAGGGGCGTATCGTGCCTTCTCCAGGTCAAGGGGCGTATCGTGCCTTCTCCAGGTCCAGGGGCGTATTGTGCCTTCTCCAGGTCCAGGTCCAGGGGCGTATTGTGCCTTCTCCAGGTCCAGGTCAAGGGGCGTATTGTGCCTTCTCCAGGTCCAGGTCAAGGGGCGTGTCGTGCCTTCTCCAGGTCCAGGTCAAGGGGCGTGTCGTGCCTTCTCCAGGTCCAGGTCAAGGGGCGTGTCGTGCCTTCTCCAGGTCCAGGTCAAGGGGCGTGTCGTGCCTTCTCCAGGTCCAGGGTTGTGTCTTGCCTTCTCCAGGTCCAGGTCCAGGTCAAGGGGCGTGTCGTGCTTTCTCCGGGTCCAGGGGTGTATTGTGCCTTCTCCAGGTCCAGGGTTGTGTCTTGCCTTCTCCAGGTCCAGGTCCTGCCCCAAGTGGAGGAGTTCAAGTGTCTTGGGATCTTGTTCACGAATGAGGGAGAAGGGAGCCGGACATCGACAGGCGGATTAGCGCAGCGTCTGCCGTGAAGTGGACGCTGTACCGGTCCGTCGTGGTGAAGAGAGAGCTGAGCCAAAAAAGTGAAGCTCTGCGGGGAATCCCTGGGCTGTTGGAATGTTTGACACATCGAGCGCATCCAACACTCCACATAGACTTTGAATATAAACCAGAATC